ATATAACATATCTTAATCAAATTTAGATACAGTGGGACCTCTACACCTAAGGCTCATGGAATACAGCAGAATGGGGTAGAGAGAATACTAATACATCCCTGAACTCTCATCAGCAAAACTTCCTCATACAACAGAGTGCAATGCACACAAAAGGCCACAACTGGTCATATTTTAGTGAATAAGAGACTGCAGAGTGTGTGTCCCTGGATAGGATCCCTGTATTAAACCTCATCCATCCATTGCTCAGAAACCTCTGTGGAAGAGAGCCTGAGAAGACTGTAAGAGGCAGAATTGGTGCATGAACATAGGGAAATAGAGGTTTCAGGCCTCTGGGAACTTGCGACAATGGTGACAGAATGCACAAGACCTGTTAGCAAGGAGTACTGCAGGGTGAGTGAAAGTTGATCTCCTTTAAGGGAATGACTCTAGATAGCCTACTAGACTCCAGTGGATGAACTTGTACCAATATCTGATAGGATATTGCCTATGTTTTCTTCTAACAGCTTCAGCAGTTCAGGTGTCACATTGAGGTCTTTCATCCATTTGGAGTACACTTTTGTGAAGGGTGATAGGTGTAGGTCTAATTTCATTCTTCTGTAGGTAGAGATTCAGTTTTTCCAGTGCCATTTGTTAGAGATGAAATCTTGTGTCTAATATATGTTCTTGGGACCCTTTTCAAATATCAGGTAGCTGAAACTGTGTGTACTCATGTTTGAGTCTTCTATTTTGTTCCATTGTTCTATGTGACTTTTTGAGCCAGTGCCATGGTGATTTTACATATGATTAACACAGTAAAGTATCAGGATACAAAATCGATTTACAAAAATCAGGATCCATATTTTTCACGAAGAAATTACATTTGTCTAGTGTGGTGGCCACCCTGTGGGAGACCCCGCCCCGAGACAATGGGTTGGAGGTGCAGACCCCTGGGACTTGTGGGTCTGGTAACAAGCTGCTTATTAAAATTCAGAAGGTTTTTATACATTACAAATAAACTGGCAGTCGTGTGGGGTTTGGCAGTTACATACAAATATGTAGGGCATAATTAGACAAGAAACAAGATATATAGCTTTTAGCTGGCACCAGCTAGGGGCTGTTTGAAAAGCAGGATGCTTGAACTTTTACTGCAGGTTACCAGTGCTTATCTGGTAATTTGTTGGCCACATTGTTTTCTTTCTTAGGACAAAAAGCATAGTAAACTTGAAGCTTTTAAAAAGCCCAGGAGTAAACCTTTAACTTGGCCTATTCTTTTAGCTAGTGATATCTGAGAGTTATTTGTTCAGACCGAGGAGGTGGGCTAAGGACGGTTGACCAAGATTCTTTCCCTCAGAGTAAAGAGCTTTAACTTTTGACCTGGCCGCTTTTCTTCTGCTAGTCCTGTAGTGTTCAGCAAGACATGGATCTGAGGGATGATATATTCAGTGCCCTTCCCTTAGCAGAGATTGTAGCTTGGATTTTAAAAGTTTCAGGTCCATCTCGCCCTAGGCCATGCCATCCTGGTTTCCTATAGTCTAAGAATGAGGCAGTCTTGGGGTTTTTTTCTCCAAGATCTACGAGCACTTTGGCTATGTGTATTTTTCTAAGCTTACAGGACCACACATGCACTTCCTCCCATTGAGTGGGCTTTAAGTCCAGTTAAGTAGCTGTTGATTACCCTCAAGTTAAAAGTGCCACTACTGCACCAATGCCATTTGCTATGTTAATCATTGAAGGTGGGGTTGGACCATTGATTGATGTTCTCACTTATCAGCTTGCATAGTACTCTTCTAGGCTATGATAACTAACCTTCAGGAGAGTGGCTTCCAGGTCAGTTCCAACTCTATTGTTCCAAATCCTGTGCCCAAAGTATGTCCTGTCTTCAACAATAGGGTCTTATCTTCAAGTTCTGGGAAGAAATCAAGGGCTGTAGCAATAACCTGTGTATGGAAGTTTGAATGAGAATGTCCTTCATAAGGTCCAGTTATTTGGACATTTTGTCCCCAGTTGGTGGCAGTTTTGGGATGTCTTTCATATGTCCATACTAGAGGAAGCACATCACTGGGGGTGGGCTTAGAGAATTCTTAAGCCATGCTAGATCTCCAGTCACTGTCTCTTGCATCCTGTGCCTCCTTGAAGATGTGAAAGCTTAGCTTCTGCTCCTCCTCCAGGCACCTCTGCCACCATGCCTTCCTACGATGATGGACTCTTGACCCTTTGGAACTGTAAGCTAAATAAATGCTTCCTTTTATAAGTTTCCTTGGTTATGGCGTTTCTATCACAGAAACAGAAAAGTGACTGATACAGTAATTGGTACTAGAGAGTGGGCTGTTGGCTGTGAAGAACCTGACCATGTGGGTTTTGGGAGGAATGTAGAAGACTTTGGGAGTTTGGGGTGGAAAATTAGTTGATTTCTGTAAGCAGAGCTAGACAGGCCATTCTAGTAGGTGCCTGGAAGAAAGTAGTGCTGAGAACAATGTAGTTCCAGAGGGAATTAAGGACTTAAGCAGCAACTGGATTATTTTGGCAGAGTCTAGTCTGACTGGAGTCTGCTCACAAGCAAAAAGCTTGCCTAGGCTAAGTTGAAAAGTAATGGACTAATTTCTTTGGTGGAGGTTTCAAGGCACCCTAATGTAAAAATGGTGGCATGGTTATTAATGGTGAATATTATGCATATCTAAAGTGAAAAAGAGCAAATGGGACAGAAAGAAATGCAAAATGTACAATTTGTATTGAAAAAGTGCACTAGGAAGATTAATGTTGGAGCCAAGGTATGTGCTGAAGGAGAGGATCCCTTTGATTAGGAGAGGCCTAGATATTTGCACTTAAACAATAGAGTGTCTCCCAGGCAAGTCCACACCCAGCTAAGCCTCCAATTTGTGAAAGGAAAACCCTGGGGTTTTCTACTCCTAGAAAACCACTGAAGAGGAAAGCTACTAAAGTGGATAAAGCAGGTGGGGGTCTATCTCAAACTTGCAGCCAAACTTGGAAGTGTTGTTCACCTGGTGCTGGCTTTAGAGACATGAAAGATGTGAGAATGAAGGGGTTGTCAGTTCTTCCTCCACGGTTTCAGAGAGAGGCAAATGCCAGGCATAAAGAAGGCCCTGATAGACCATTGTGTGAAGCTGTGAAGGTGAAGCCTAGTTGGCAGGGGAGACCCTAAGATGATGTTCTTAATGCCAGAGATGTGAGGCTTTGCTAAGGAGAGCTGCATACAGGGAGTGATACCAGTCCAAGAGAGAGACATCTGTTGCATGCAGCAAAGATGGAGAGACTGAGTTATCTAAGCCCTTTGGAAGTGAAATCCCAGAAATGGGACACGGAATTACTGGATTTGGTATTTGCTGTGCTGGTTTTTGGACTTGTTGGTCTGGTATTTCCTTACTATGCCTTTATTACTCCCTTTTGGAATGGGAATGTGTATTTGGTTCTACTATATGTTGGGAGTATGTAATTTGTCTTTTGATTTTACAGGGGCTTACTGTTAAGAGAGTGCTCTGAGACTTTGAACTATGGACTTTTGAATAGTATTGAGACTGGTAAAGACTATGGGGACTTTTAAGGATAGACTAAATGAATTTTGAATTTTATATGGCCATGGGCCTATGGGGGCCAGGAATTGGAAATATGGTGGTTTGAATAAGAATATCCCCCATAGGCTTCAACACTTTATTCCCAGCTGGTGGCACTGTTTGGGGAGGTCTTAGAAGGTGTGGCCCTGCTGGAGGAAGCATGTCACTAGGGGTAGGCTTAGAGAATTCTTAAGCCTTATCAGATCTCTAGTCACTCTCTCTTGCTTCCTGTGCCTGCTTGAAGATGTGAGAGCTTAGTTTCTGCTCCTACTCCAGGCACTTTTGCAACCATGCCTTCCTACCATGATGGACTCTTGTCCCTTTGGAAATTTAAACTGAATAAACTCTTCGCTTTATAAGTTTCTTTGGTCATTGTGTTTCTACCACAGCCACAGAAAAGTGACTAATATTCCTGTGTAAGTTTTGGAGTCTCTTGAACCACCCTGACTAAAACAACTCTAAGGAAAGTTTCTCCTGTCTGGCACTCTTTCTTGTTATGTAGCTTTTAGCTATACACATGGACTCATGTAGAGATATTGTTTATGTAATTTTCAGTAGGTTTTTGGACCAATACAATTCTCTTTGGTTTTATATACCAGCTAAACATTATTTATCTCCTCTCTCTCTCTTCTCTCTCTCTCTCACATCCTCTCTCCCTACCCTCCCTATTTAAATTGTCCCCATTTTCCCCATTTCTCCCTTTATAATTCCTATCTGCTATGGCCCTGCCTCTCTTGAACTCCTTCTTTCCCTTTATCCTCATAATTTCTTATATAGCCTTCCCTTTCTCCCTCCTACTTAACTACCCCCATTTTACACACTTCTCTCTTAGTGGGAACCGCACCTGTCTTCTCCTGTTTTTCTCTCTTGGGTTCCTTCTTTCCCTTTACCTCCCTGGTTCCTTTCCATTTTCCTGGTTTCTGTAGCTACATCAGGGTATATACTCACATATAAAGATTTGGTGCTAGGATTCACAAATGAAGGAGAACATAAATCTTTTGTTTTTCTCAGTCTGTGTTACTTCACTTAGTATAACAGTTTCTAGTTCTGTCCATTTACCTGCATACTATGAATATTTTAAAAGTGAGAATAATACTGAATTGGAGGTGAATACAGAAAAAGATATGTTTCTAAAATTCCCAATTCTGCAAGTTTTCTATAATACTGTTCTAACAATTCTTAAGAGCAAACATTTCCAGAAAATAAGAGGAGAGATTTAAATTCTACTAACAAAGTAATTTCCAAATCTAATAGGCAAAAATAATTACCAATAATAACACAGAATTCACACTTTATACTAAAGAGTTGTAAGAAAAGTGAGAACAAGTATACCAGACTACAGCTTAAATAACCAAATCTTTACTGAGTACTTATTCACATTGGGCCCCAGATTGAGGATTTAGTGTTTGGACATATATGACTATATGTTTATTGTAAAGAGAAGGACAAATGTTATTGATTTGAGACTTCTGCCCTGTTGAAGAGTTTCTTCAGAGCCTCCTTCATGTCTCTGTTTCTTAGGCTATAAATGAAGGGGTTCAGCAATGGAGTGACCACTGTATACATCACAGAAGCAATTATGTCCTTGTCACTGGAAGTGCTGGATGATGGTAAAAGGTAAAGTCCAATAATTGCACCATAATACAGAGACACAACAGAGAGGTGGGAACCACAAGTAGACAAAGCTTTGCAGATCCCTTTGGTAGATGGAACTTTCAAGATGGTGGCCCCAATGTGGCCATAAGAGATCAAGATGCATATTAGTGGTAGAGTAATGACTGCCGTGCCGGCTGTGAAAATGAGCAGCTCATTAGGGGAGATGTCTGAGCATGAGAGCTTTAGCAGGGCAGCAAGGTCACAGAAGAAATGAGGAATGATGTTGTCAGCACAGAAGGACAAACGGGCCAATAGGAGGGTATGAGATAAAGCACTGGCACAGGATAGGATCCAGGACACAGCTACAAGTGAGGTGCATAGCTCCTCTCTCATGATGGTAATGTAGTGGAGGGGGTGACAGATAGCCACATACCGATCATATGCCATTGATGTGAGAAGAAAGTTGTCCAGATCAGTGAATAATATAAAAAAATACGTTTGTGCTATACATCCTGAATAGGGAATGGATTGATCCTGAGTCTTCATGTTCTTCAGCATCTCTGGGACAGTGACAGATGAAAAGGAGATGTCAGTTAGAGCCAAATGGCTGAGGAAGAAGTACATGGGGGTGTGGAGGCGAGAGTCCAGCCTGATGAGCAGGATGATGAGCAGGTTCCCCAGCACCGTGGTCAGGTACATGACCAGGAACAGGGTGAAGAAGATGCCCTGCTGCTCTGGCTGGATGGGGAGCCCCAGGAGAATGAACTCTGACATAGCGCTATGGTTCTCCATCTTTTGACTGCTCCCCTCTTTGCTGAGCATGAAAGGACATTGAATAAAAATGAAATAAACAAGTATTTTTTTTTACAGCAGAGAAGTAAAAATGTGATTCATTTTACTTGTGAATGCTGCATGCTGATGTCTATCTGCAGTACTGTTTTCCTACCAAAAATATATTTAAAGTGGGTGGTGCATGTGTGGTGGCACATATTTTTAATCTAAGCCTTCTAGAGTCAAAGGCAAGCAGATCTCTGTGAGTTCAAAACCAGCCTTGTCTATAGAGAGCTCTAGGCCAGTCAGGATTACATAATGAGACACTCAGGAAAAGTGAATGATTGCTGCTAGGTGAAGAAGAGCTGATCTTATTAAAACAAGGTACTCTAGATAGACTGACTAGACCTCAGTGGATAAACTAGCACTGGGAAATGTCTGGGGACACTGACGTGACACAATGGGCCATAACAGGGGTGACAGTATATGGGATTCTGTTGGGGGGTGTCAATGGAGGGTACAGGTGGGTACTGGGGTATGAAGATGATTAAGATTGAGATGTTCTGTATGAAAAATACAAAAAAAATCAATAAAAACAAAATTTTAAAAGGGGAAATCTGAATGTGTCTAAGATTTGAAATTTTACTAAGGAGTATATAAAGTATAATAATAAGCTAAAATGTACTTTATATGTGAAACTGCTACTTTGCTATATAACCTATAAAATAAATTATTTCTAAAATCTCAAGAAGAGTGAATGGTGCATAAAAATTAGAGATTATGTCAGCAAAGAGAAAACTTTGTTACAGAAGAGAAGTGACACTACTGGAATTTGTAACAATCTAGGCACAAGGAGAATCAGACCACATTATGACTTTCAACTATGTCCAGTCAGTAGAAAGAAAATCTCCACAGTCAATAGACAGGTCAACTGGACAAAACATAAATAGAGACATCTGAATTAGACGACATCATTCATCAAATGAATCTAATAGGCAACTACAGAATTCCATCAAAGCACTACAGAATACACATTCTATCCAGCACCCCATGGAACTTTCTCTAAAACTGATCACATACTGGGGTACAAAACAAACCTCAAAATACAAAAAATAATTCCATATAGCTTTATCTGACCACAGCAAAATAAAGCTTAAAATCAACACCAAAAGAAGCTCTAGCAACTACACAAACTCATGAAGATTAAGCAACACACTCCTGAATGATGATTGTGTCAAAGAAGAAATCAAGAAGGAAATAAAAGTATTCAGGAAACTAAATTAAAATGACAATACAGTACCCCAAACCTCTGGGACACAGTAAAAGCAGTCCTAAGGGGGAAGTTTATGGCTTTTTATATCTATATTAAAAAGTTAGAGCACAAATAAATGACTTAACAATACAACTCAAAACTCTGGGAAAGCAAGAACAAAGGAAATCAAAACCCATTAGAAGAGAAGAAATAACAAAAATCAGAGCAGAAATCGATGAAATTGAAATAAAGAAATCAATACAAAGAACCATGAATCTAAGAGATGGTTCTTTGAAAAGATTAACAAGATAGACAAATCCTTAGTCCAGTTAACCAAAAAAGAAACAGCAAATACAAATCAACAAAATCAGTTAAAATCAGTTAAAAAAAGATCCTAAAAATCTTTACTCTAGGTTGGCTGTCTAGACTCCAGTGGATGAACTTGCATGGACCAACATCTGAGTTCCCAGATTTCACTTGATAGGTCTTAATATGTGACATAATGCATGAAATTCTATGGATGGGCTATGGGGGGTGCAGGTAGGGGATGAGTCTAAATGTATTTAAAATGTGTTGTATGAAATGCACAAAAATTTAATAAAAATTATACAACTAAAAAAGAAAATAAATGGCCCAGGCTGGGGATGTAGCACACTGGCTGTTTGCTTACCTAGCATGCATGAGGCTCAGGATTCCATCCTTGGCACTGCAAAAACAACTACAACCAAAAATAAAATTACCCGATTTTCTATCATGCAAGACATTAATGAGGAAAGGAACATATCTATTGATTATTCTATCAAGTGAAAATACTATTGACAATTATATATTTATTGCTAGTAATTATACTTGTCATGATCTTTTATATCATTTTCCAGTCTCTTCCTGATTCAGTGAGGGATCCTGACACCATAAAACACAAAATCCAACACAGAAAGAGGGTTGTTTTTAATCAAGAGACTCGAAGAAAGGAATCCCTTGATAGCAACAATATAAAGTGCTTAACAAAATCTTTTTATGGTCTTCTCCCAAACGTTATTATCTAACCTTTAAAAAATTCTAAATCATGAGCTACAAATCTTATTAGGAAGAAATTAGAAATCAGGAAAAAGAGTTAATGACCTATGTCTTGATAAAAAGTTTACTTTAAGCCAGGGTGTGACGTTGGATAGGTTAACCAGGCTCCAGTGGATGGGCACACACTGAAGGACATTTGGAGACACAAATTTGACTTGATAGGCCTTAATATATATAATAGAGTATATGAAGTTGGGTGGGAGGGGTGCATATATAAAAGGGGTCTAAATATAATAAAAATTTATTTTGTGAAATTCGCACAATAAAAAATGAAAAAAGTTTACTTTCCATCCAAAATCAATGCTAAATTCCTGTTACATATGTGTGGACAGAGTAAGTAATGTAAGGCATTAAGATTTCATTGTAATAGTTCATAACTGAAAGAGAAGCTGAGAAGAGTTATATGCAGGTTAGTGGTCAGCTGGCAACTCTTTTTACTCTACTGTTTGAGCATACTCCGATCTCCTATCAGTATACCATCTCCCTTTGAGCAGCATCCCCCAAAGCAGCCACTAGCCAGATGTATTCTTCAAATATACTTCAAGTCAAGTAGCAGTACCATCTAAAATGAAGGGAATGATCATGGATTTTCAAAGACACACTAGACTGGCCTGGTGATCACTACCTACCCTAAACAAGCACACATAGTGAGGTCTAAAAACGCTAACGATGAGCTCAGAAACCCAGGTAGGGATTTTGAAGTGTGCTATTAGCTGATGTAATTCTCTGTCTCTCTGTCCCCCACTGTCACCCCATCTCCCTAAGTCTTTGGGTGAGAGGTATAGGAGTCATTAGCCAGTGGTGGTTACTGTATCCCTGGCTCTAGGAATGAGGAATATAAAAAGACTTCAGCAAGAACACACAGAATTACTGAGTACCTGAACAGAGAGAAAGGAGAGAGAAAGAGAGACTATTGATAAAGGATACTCAGTCCTGCTCTGAACTTCATGCTCAGGTTATTCATCTTCCGAGAATTGGCTTGTCTATAGGAGACCTTGTGACCAGATTCAACATGTAATTTCATGGTCCAAACCTCTTATAGACAGCAAAGAGAAAAGTCACAAACCTGGATCTTAATCTCAATTCAATAGCTTCAGAAATGGAGAGGTGAAGCCTCCACTCTGTAACCAGAGAGAAGACTCAATGGGCAGGCCACTAAGCTCTCAGTCAGAGACAGGTGTTTAAGATGTATTAACTCCCGTTACTGTTTTCTTCTTACTCCCTCCAGGACAGATGCCCTAGGGCAGCGGTCCCTAAACTTTGATGTTCAGGAGAATCGCCTGGGGAACTTGTTAAGATTCAAATCCTTGATCCAGATCCAGAGATGCTCAATCCTGAGATTCTGAAGCCAGGTAATTCTTAGGCAAATGTTTCTAAGGGCAAATTGTAAGGAAACACAATCCTTAGGAAGAGTGCCAGCGTTCCTTATGAATGTGAGCTCAAAGGGAGATGGGAATAGACCTTCCCAACCAGAATCATTTCCCCTGGCTAGGCCAAAATTTGGAATGTGCAAAGGGATTTTTCTTCAAAATATAAAAGCTTTTTTTGGTTTGTTGCTTCCAAAATTAATTTCTCTTCATGACAAAAAACCAAATAATACAGATATGAAAACAATCTTTCTGTTACTGATTTACTAATCCTATTAAAATGGTTTTCTATTTAATAAACAAGTATGCTCACATAAATGGGATTTATTTTATATTATTTTATAGCCCTCTTTCTATAATAATTTAATGCAATAATATTTATAGTTTCATGTCTCTATATATCATTACATTTAAAAATAAATATGGTAAAAATGAAATACATCCTTCAATTGTTTGGAGCCTGAACTAGGATTCAGATGTTCTGGAGATTATGTGTAGGAAAGGTTTTGATTGAAAAACCATTTTTGTGGTTGTAGAGGATGATGGTGAAAGAGTAGGGTAGAGCACGGATCAGCAAACATTTTTAAAAATGTAAACAGAAAGGTAGTAGCTGTTTTAGGCTTTGTGGGCCATATGATTTTTTTGATGCTATTCAGTTCTGCTGCTGCTGTAAATGTAAAATTAGCCACTTAAAAGGTGTAAATGAGTATGGGTATGTTCCAATAAAAGTTATTATAGGCAGCTGGGCTTGGTGGTACACACCTTTAATCCCAGCACTTGGGAGGTAGAGGTAGACTGATTCCTGTGAGATCAAGGTCAGCCTGGCCTCCACAGAGAGTTCTAGGCTAGCTGGAGCTACCCGAAGACCCTGTCTCAAAAAGACCAAAAAAATTATTATAGAAATGGAAAATAAATAAACATTTGTTTTAGTTAATCTTTTCTCCATGAAACTTTAATAAAGACTTATGAGGTCATAAAATCACCTACTTTGCCAGTTGTCTGTGAAGACTACTTTAACATCTCTAAAAGCATCATTCTTTTTAAATTTAGAGATGGCTCAGCAGGTTAGAGAACTTGTAGTGTGTTGGATAGGCATGTCCTCCAAAAGAACGAGCAACTGCTGAATATCTGAACCCTAAGAGACTCCCTACACAGAGGGAGAGACAGTCACCCTCCCACCCAATCAGTCAGCTTCAATTGCATGAGGGGGTGGGTCTAAAGACAGGCTCAGAGGAAGCTGGGAGGTGGTGGGAAGTCACCATCTTGGCTGGTGCTCTAGTGAGCACTGATCTGAAAGGGCTCAGCTGAGATATAGGGAAACATAACATGATAAACTCTATACAAAAACCCAAGTAGAATGCATCGTGTTGGTTTTGTCTTGGGTCATAAGGACAGTGTGGGGCCTGGGAGCTGAGCATGCGCATGGGACTTGCAGGAAAGAATTGTGCTTTACACACACAGTGCAAGCTTGATGATCCAAGTTCAATCCCCAGATTCCACTGGAAAGTGAGAACTACTGAAAGTTGTCCACCGATCACATGCCCCCATGGCACATATGTATGTGTACACACACACACACACACACACACACACACACACACACACAAATATATAAATAAATAAATAAATAAATAAATAAATAAATAAAATTTTATTAGTTTTGATTAGCAAATGAAGTATTGGATTTCAATATGGACTTTTCAAATGCTGTTTGTTCTTGTTGATCTTTCATTCTTTTTTAAAATTTAAAATATGAATTGTTTATTTCTGGAATTTTCCATTTTGTATTTTTGGACCTCAGTTAAGCATAGTAATGATATGTAACTGAAACCACAGAAAGCCAAACCTCAGATATGTACTGCTGGATTAGCAGGTTCACGGACAGGAGAAGAAGCAGTGCCCTGTCTTTATACCACCATCCAGTGAACAGTGGACTTCGCAGAACAAGCTTGGCTCAGTCCCTACTTAGGACTTGGCTTTCAAGATGCCCCCAAAGAACTCCAGCCAAGATAGGCACAGAAGAGTGACAGCTTGCTCCATCTTCAATGCTGGTACCAGTCAGCTTTTTTCCCCCAATGTATATTTTTGTTTAATTTTTGTGCATTTCATACAATACATCTTAATCATATTTAGGCCCCTCCCCTATGTGTATCCCCCATAGCCCACCCACAAGATTTCATGCATTCTTTCCTATGTGTCAAGGCCCATCAAGTCAAACTTATGTACCCAGATGTACCTCGGTATTAGTATCCACTGGAACCTGTTCAGCCTATCTGGCATCACTCTCTTAAGGAAGATAAACTCTCCCTCACCCAGTGGTGATCAGCTGCCAATAGTTCCTCAGCAAAGGTTGGGGCATGCTGCCCATTTCCCTAATTATATGCTAGTTTTTGTCTGACTGGGTTTCCATGGATCTTGTGCATGCTGTCAGACATTATGAAGTTCATATTAGCAAGTTCCCAGAAGCCTTAAAGACTCTGTTTCCTTATGGTCATGTACCAATCCTGGCTCTTACAGTCTTTCTGCCCTATGTTCAGCAATGGTCTCTGACCCCTGGGTGACTGAGGCTTAATATAAGAGTCCTGTCCAGGGACACACACTCTGTAGCCCCTTATTTTCTACAATTTGGTTCGTGGTGATATTCCATGTTCATCGCCCTTTGCTGCATGAGTAAGCTTAGCTAGTGAGAGTTGAGAGATGAATTAACAGTCTCTCTACTCCCTGTTTCACTATGCTCTGTGAACCTTAGGTGTAGAGCTTCCATAGTATATGTGTCATTTGCAATGAGGAACATCCTTAGAACCAATATACCTACCACAAGACATACCAGAGCTGCTCAATCAATGTTTATCAGCTTTTTTTCTCTAGCAACAGCATTAAGATTCCTTTTCGGGACAAAATTTCTCAAGCATGTAGCCAAAGTCAGAGAAAGATAAGTAGGCTTTATTAAAATTCTTTAGGGCACATATACCCACTCACAGCAAAAGCTCATCAAAGCAAACACTTTCCCCTCTTCCTGCCCATAAGGCCCATACACAAAGCAGGCTGGAAATATAATAATCCATATTTAGCATACAATAAGAAACTATGTCTAGGGATGTGGTGTGTTTTTTTTCTAGGATCTATGACCTCTGCCGCCATGTGTCTTTGGATATGTTTACAGTACCACACATGACTGCCCTCTGATTGAGCTTGTCTTAATTCCAATTAGACAGCTTTTGATTACCACCTAGATAAAAGTGCCACTACTGTACCAATAGAAATTACTTGTTGGGCAGGTCAATGTTATGGTTCATAGACTTTACAGCTGAATATCATTGGTTGGTTTTCTCCCTTAGCAACTTGCAAAGTATCTTCTGATACCATGAGAGCTAGTCTTCAGGGAGGAGGCTTCCAGATCATTTTCATTTGGTTTGCTCCAAGTCCTGTGTCCACAGTATGTCCTATCTTCATCAATAGGATCTTATTTTCGAGTTCTTGGAGGAATCAAGGACTGTGGCAATAGCCTGTGTTATTTTGGGAGTCTCTTGGGCTTACTTGAAGGGATGTTTCCTCTACCTGGCACTGCGTTTTTGTTATATAGCACATATATGCACACATTATATATGCCTATCATATATATTATTTTTAATATGTGCTTTTCAAGTATGCTTTTGAACTAATATATTTCTCATCTGGGGTCACAAGCTTGACTTATTTGGCCTTAATATATATGAGAGAGTATATGAAATTCAACTGGGGGTCTATAAGAGGGGAGCAGAATGGATAAATGTTCTAAACATAATCAAATATATTGTATTAAATTCACAAATAATAATAAATAAAAACAAATAAAAATATTATGTTCATTGGGCATCCCATGGTCACTTATTCTCTGCAGTTGACTGGTGTGGAACTTTGTAATCCTCTCCATCTGTTGCAAAAAAAAAACTTCTTTGATGAGTGGTAAGAGGGGCACTTGTCTATAAACATAGCCCTAAGTGACACATCTACAATGCGGCTTCTATGTCTGAGGCTCAGGAAACCTCATGGAAAAGGGAAGTAGAAAGATATCATGGTACCAACCCTGAAGATGAAAAGCTACAAGCAATTAATGGATGTAGAGGGAGAATCTGATTTTTCCAGGGACTAACGTCTTGATAGCTTATCTAATCCCAAATGAGCAGCCCTAAACACAGGTGCACAGGAGCGTCACTAAATGGACTCAGTACATTATATAGGTATGTATTATATATAACAATACTAATGAAAGAGGAGGGCAAAAAATTGAGAGGAAGACTGAGAGGAGTTGGAGGGGGACTGAGAGAAATGGAGATAATAGAGAAAACAATACTAAGTATGAAATTCCCCAAAATTAAAAATCATTTATTGGCCATTTGTGTTTATTTCTTGAGATCTGTCTGTTCATTAGTCTATTTGTTAATTGGTAGAATTTTTTGGTTTTAATTTTGTGGTTCTTCATATACTCTAGATACTAAACCCTGTCTGAAGGCATAGATTTGCTCTCTTAAATTGACGAAATAAATAATAAAATTAGTTTAGCATTTGCTGATCAAAAGGTTTTCAGAAAATAACCTTCCAGTAAGTGTGGGGGAGTGGAGGAGAAAGTTCAAAGAGAGTTTAGATAATACAATCCAAGGTACAGTCGGATAGGAAGAGTAAAATTTACAACACAGTAGTGTGACAGTAGCTCACGATAGCCTGTTATATACTTTATGAAGAACGAGAAGAGAAAAACTCAAAGGAACCAAACATAAAGAAATGATAAGGAGGTAAAAATGCTAATTACGCTGTTGTGGTTAGAGCAGTGTATTAATGCACTGAAAAAAATCACACTACCCCATGAATAAGTGTAATTGGTAGTTTAATAAAATGAAAATAAAACGATATCAATTTATATAGGGTAATATTGTTGATGAAAATTTGGTCATCAATTATTCATGTTTAACATATTGTCTGTCCAAGAGCTTTGAAAATGTTTGCTTTTAATTTTTCAGTATTAATTATTGCTTAACCCTAGATGATTGCCCATCACATACTGTATATTGTAAACTCAGTGTAGGTCAAAGGTATTTGTGCTTTCATTCTTGAACAAGTTTTTCTCTTTTTTATTTTTATTTTTTATTATTCCAAAGATAGGCAATTTTTTTTCTTTTTTTACGAAATAAAAGTTTAAATGGGGGGGAATAGGAATAAGAAATCAAAGACCTAAGGATTTGACAACATGGGGTCAACTTTGGTGGAAGGTTTCCATAAACTCTGTTCTTTTTTTAAAAATCCTAACGAATTTATTGGGCTTGATAACAATGCATAGGCTTGGGGTATGTTTTGAAGCATTCAAATGTAAAGTCAAATAGATGGTATCAACCAAAACGGGGTTTTGACAAAGAAAAAAAAATTGAGATGCTACTTGGAGAAAGCTACTGTTCTCCTGAAGAGTTTCCCAAGGGCCTCTTTCATATCCCTGTTCCTAAGGCTATAAATAAAAGGATTCAACATGGGAGTGACCACGGTGTACATGATAGCTGCAATGATGTCCTTGTCGACTGAATTGCTTCTTGCTGGGAAAAGGTACTGTCCAAATATGGCCCCATAATATAGAGACACTACAGAGAGATGGGACCCACATGTGGACAATGCTTTGCGGATCCCCTTGGCTGAAGGTACCCTCAGGATGGTGGTCCCAATGTAGCCATAAGATACCAGGATACACATAAATGGGAGAGTAATGACCACCACCCCAACTGTGAACATAACCAACTTATTGAGGAAAATGTCTGAGCAGGACAGCTTGAGCAGCACATCAGGGTCACAGAAGAAGTGGGGGATGGTGCTATCAGCACAGAAGGACAGTCGGGTCAGGAGAAGGGTGTGAGAGAGGGAGTTAGCACAGGACAGGATCCAGGATATTGCCACCAGCAAGGCACACAGCTCTTCTTTCATTATGATGGTATAGTGAAGAGGGTGACATATGGCAACGTATCGATCATAAGCCATGGATGCAATCAGGAAGCTGTCTAGGTCAGTAAAAAATATGAACAAAAACATCTGGGAAATGCACCCCACAAAGGGGATGGACTTGAGGTTAGTGTGCATGTCTATCAACATCTTTGGGACAGTGACAGATGAGAAAGAGACATCAGTGAAGGCCAAGTGGCTGAGGAAGAAGTACATGGGGGTGTGGAGGCGAGAGTCCAGCCTGATGAGCAGGATGATGAGCAGGTTCCCCAGCACTGTGGTCAGGTACATGGCCAGGAACAGTGTGAAGAAGATGCCCTGCTGCTCTGGCTGGATGGGGAGCCCCAGGAGGATGAACTCAGACACACTGCTCTGGTTCTCAGGCCTCATAATGTTCTTCTCTCTGACTGAAATGAAGAATGGTTCAGAATATTACTAGAACTTAAAAATAAGCATTTTTAGCAGTCATATCAAAAAGAACCATGATTTTGAGATATCAAGCTGGTACTAACTTGGAAGCTTCAACCATAGTGGTTAGCTTTCATAGTGTTTGAATATGCAATGGTTGCTACTGGGGGAGAAAATTAATCATCAGTCTTATCCAGCTGTGAACCCTTTAAGCTACAACAATGACAAGCCTGGCAAGACCTGCCCATTGGTGCATTAATAGCACAAATGTTATAGGTGTAACCAACCACTTTCTGATTATATTTAAGGTCCACTCCACAAGACAGAATTCATGTCTGGTACCATTAATGAACCAAGAACCAAGGCTAGGTAAGTCTTAGGTCCTAGGGTAGAACTTACTCCTATTATTCTGCTAAATGGACATAGTATTAAACTAACTCCTAAAAGACACAATTATACCCATAGATAAGTGTGTCTGTCTCTCAGCCCTCATAAGAGAAGCTTCTTTTGGCAGTAGATGGTGATAGACACAGAGACTCACAATTTTTCAATGTGTAGAGAATGAATGCTCAGCCCTAAATGGAACACCTGTATCACACCCTTTCTGGGAGAGGTGTGAGGAGGAAGGGAAAGATTATAAGAGGCAGAAGTAGAGGATGACAACGGAAAAACTGTTTTCTGGAAATGACAGAACAATTGCACATATGAACCCACAACAGCTGGGACAGCATGCAGGAAACCCATTCAAGATCAAGTCAGACGCAACCCCATCATAGGTGGGGGAAGTTGTCAGGAAATCCCACTCTTCCCTCTGGAGCTATTGGCAACTGATGGCTGGTGAGGGAGTCTGTTTTCTTCACATATATGGCCCCTGAGATGCTGTATACGCTCCAGTAGATTGCTGTATGCTAATGGACATACTAGCAGCACCAAGTGGACTCTGTGGATTTAAAAAATAATACATGAAACTGGGGGAAATAGTTGTGGGGGAGTGAGGGGGAATAAAGGGTAGGGAACAGGGATGGGCTTGACCAATGATCATATATTTTCCCAATTTTACTGTGCTAGGAGTTCAAACCAGTGACCCCCAAGCAGTGATGATTGGGGATGAGTAAGCACGGCTTCGCCAGCCTACACCGCCCCCAATACCGGGAACACTCAGGCGCAATGGGGAGCCTAGTCAAGCAGGGACTCATTTATTGCAGGTGTTACAGAGCTTATAAAGGCATCTGGAAATCCCCACTCCCCCCTGAGGGTGTATCTTAAGGATGGTCAGGTGCTGATAATGCACTCCTCAGCAGTGAAGAAGTATTCTTCAGACTTTCAAAGCAAGTCAGGCCACGCCCCAGTAACTTCCTCTCGGACTTCTGCAAGGTGGGGCCTTTAGGTCCCCACACTCCTGCCTTATCCCTCTCCCACTCCCGGCTCAGTGAACATTATGTAAAAGAAGGCAGAAGCAATGGAAGAGCTGGAGGATGAAGAAGGGTGCTGCTGGACAGGACATGGCCTTGCACTAGGAATTCACAGCAGTTGTGGTCACATTCACAAGATCAGCACAAGAATAGGCCCATCAACACTCCATCATGGATGAGGAGGCTTGGAGGCGCCACCCTTCCCTGAGGAATCACTAAGGTAGAGTCATTTTATTCAGTGGTATAGCCACTTATTAGGTGCTGACACCCCAGCAAAGAACTCCCTGCTCATGCTGATGAGAACAACCCACTGACTTTTAAGATGAGAATAGTAACCATGGATTGAAGATTATTTTAAGCCTGCATGTCTCCTACATTTCTGTCCTCCTCAGTTCTGCCTCTCACTCATGATGACTTCTGTGTTCTTTACATTTCCATTTACTATTATTCAAAGTCCTTTTTTGGGGGTGATGATTTTCTCTGATCTCATGTCATGCTCAGAAATCAGAGATAAGACTGGTTCCTAGAAGGCACGTAGGCAACTTCTTTTATTTTTTTCTTTACTGTTAACACAGATGGGATATTAAGACACTAACTTTAGGGTAATTTATTAGAACAGTAAGAGGAACCTGATATGTCAGTGTTCGGCTGAGTTCAGACATATATCTAAATACTGGCTGTCTAGGTGCCAATATACAAAAACATCTGTTTTCAAACTTTGCCATTCATACAACGAAAGAATGCATCACTCAGCAGAGTCAATCTTTACCTAGCAAGGTGGGAAATGAGGCTGCTATCTCAGTGGAAGCACTTGCTACAAATCATAAAGGAGATAAACCATTCCCTCCTCTAAAATATCTGAATACCATGTTTTCTTTTAATAAGAAAGCAGAGTGAGGGACAGAGTTCTTACTTTTCTGATAGGCTCCTAGACAGGAATAAACTTTTGGATTAAGAAAATCAAGCAAGGTAAGATTTTAGAACGTCTAATTTTAAAATGTAACCACATAGACTTCATATAAGTCCTCATATGCATCCCTACCTTAACGTACATAGTGAGACTGGCTAGCGAACAATGTTCAAAGTATTAGGTTCAGGCTTTCTCATTTTACTAGTATCCAAACAGCGACTGCACTCTCTTACCTTGGGGTACAATGTAAGATTAGAGAAAAGCAGTTTTGGAATAATATGGGCTTGGATCATAATCGTGGTTTCATAATAGTATTTTTTTGTCTCAGGTTTATGAACCTTTGCAAACCTCAAAAAGATGAAGATCTTTGAACAACACATAATTACACTATATAGGTTATTATAAAGATGAAATGAGATGTTACATGCAAAGCCCCTAATACCTTTATGTGCATAGTCTCAATAAGTATTGACCCCCCATAATTAGAGAAAAAATGAAAAATTATATACAGGTAGATCAGGGAGTTTGCCTTTATGTTCAGGAGAAAATTGTTCACAGCAGTCCCTTTGCTGGACTGTAGGTGTTGAGACCTTGGGCAAAGATGTGCAATTGAATATAGAAATTGCCAGCAAAAATCAGGATGGCAAGCCAGGAGCAGCAGCATAGTACACTTATGTAGATGCACAGGAAAAGTGATCATTCTACTGCTGCAAGAGAAATAGATAGATGCTTGTTACTAGAGAAAGAAACCAAATGGAAAATTCAGGGAATGCATTTGTCCTCACAGAAGCTATCTTATATTCTGACTCCTGGCAGCTGAGCCAGAGTCTAGAAGACTGAGCTGGATATTTTACCAGATTGGCAAATGGTAACCCATGAGCAGCCTGCCATACCTCAAAGCCAAGGTAGTAGGGGAGCTATGTATTCAGCAACAGATGAAGAAATCACTTTGTTTACACACTGATGACTCTTTCCCACGTCACCTTTTCACCCTCTACTTACGTGTTTTCTTATTTCTTCAGAAGCCATGCCTTGTCTGAACAATTCCCTCCCCACATGGAAAGACACTGGGTACTAAACAAGCGACACTTTGGGAAGATATATGTCCCAATAAAGCGTATCTACTTGGTCATTATCTGGACCTTCAAATCCTACCATGGGTAAGGTACCAGACCAGTGTTTGACAAAACAGAGAGTAATAACATTTGTCATTATGAAAAAACAATCCTATAGTTGCCATTTGGAGAATGTTTATTATCATGGAGGAAATATTTGGGGAGTACAGCTAGCTTTTCAAAGCTCCAGGTTGAAATATCTTATTGACTCAGAATGCTTGAATTATGCATAGTTATGATCTGGCTTTCTATATCAGGATTCAAAGCAGGAGAAATCCCCTCTATACGTCTATTTCTAGTCCATTACCCATTTCTCTTTATCTCTTTTAAAAATATTTTATTGAGTTTTTGTGCATTTTATATAATAGATATTAATCAAATTTAGACCTCCTCCTCATCCACACCCTCATACCCCTCCACTGAATTTCATGCATTCTGTCATATTTGTTAAGTCCTATCAGATAAAGCATTTGTACCCAGAAGTTTCTCAGTGCAAATGCATCCACTGGAGTCTGGTTAGCCTATCTAGTGTCACTCCCTTAAAGAAGACCTACTCTCTCTCCAATAGTTCTCTGCCAATAGTTCCTTGGTTAAGGTTGGGGATTGCTTCCCATTTCTTTACTTCTATGCTGGCTTTTTGTCTCATTGAGTCAGCATGGGTCTTGTGCATGCTGTCACCATTGTTGCAAGCTCATATGTGCAAATTTCCAGTGGCCCAAACATCTCTGTTTCCTTATGGTCATGCACCAACTCTGGCTCTTCGATCTTTCCATCCCCTCTTCTGCAGTGGTCCCTGAGCCATGGGTGAGGTTTAAAATGGAACAAGGCATGATGCCCATGGAAGGTTAAGTTTTAGAGTACAAGATATTTCAGAGTGTGTGTCCCTGGATAAGACGCCTACATTTTTCTCTCTTTTCACCTCTTTTTCTCATCTTGCCTACTTCTTACTTCGTGTTATTTTTCTTTTCTTCTCTTGCCTCTAATAACATTCATTCCATTCTGTTCCTACCTCTGCTCTGTTACCCGTCTCCTTATTTCCTCCTCCTCTGCCTTCTTTTGCTCTGTTTTTTTAAAATTAATTCTCACTAGTGACTTTTGTATTCCTTTTTCTTTATCTATATATAATCCTAATAAATATTGATGAAAAATGCCTATTTTATCCCCATTACTAACCTTGTCTGTTTTATAATCCAGTATTTTATGGGCAGCTGTGTCCTGAGATTCTCTTTATGGGACCTGAAAATGAACTCCCATGATCCTAGGCATTTCTCTGTCATCAAGAAGAAAAGCTATAAGCTCAGATTCTCACTGCTATTTAACAAACCTAGCTCATGAGTTCAGAGTATACCTAGTCAAAAAGAAACCCTAGGGTATAAGGAGTGGAACAAGTAATTCCCAGATGAAGACTTTAAACAAACTTCAACTAATGGACCAATTTCCCCCTTGATTCTTCTAGGAAAGGGGTGCTTTGGGAAGAATATTCCTTGGGAACCTTAGAAGATGAGCCCATATCGAAGAACACTAAGGCACCCTCAGCATCCTTCTGCCTGTACA